TACATTATAGATAAAACAATTCAAAATTTGAACCATTTAAAATATATGAAAAAAAAATTATTTTTATTTAATGATAAAAAATTAAGGTCACTTAATTGTATACTTTAAAAAAAGGTTTAATAGGTTCAGAGGTCCCTATATTTGGGGGTTCGTTTCAATTGGGTCCTCCAATTTTGAAAGTGATCAATTAGGTCCCTAATTTGGTAAAAGAATAAATAAAGATCTTAAAGAAAATTATAAAATTGAAAAATAATTAACTAATTGACCTTTTTAATTATATAAAAAGAATATATTGCATTTTAAATGCATATATAACTTATGGAATAATATTAACTATTTCACAATTAAATTGAAATGAGTTTTTCAAAGATAAAGATAATAAAACTTATTGACATCAACAATGTCACAAAACAATTAAATAAATTGACTTTATTATCTATTGAAAAAATATATTATATAAAAATTGAATAGATAAATTTTAAATAAAGTTATGATAAATTTTAACATGAATTATTTTATTATTAAATAAAAATATGCAATTTGTAAGTTTATTTTACCTTTCCAAACTCCTGAGCCACTCTTGCTTTGAGGGTCCAACATATTCATTTCACGTTATACATTATATATTCATCTTTACCAATAAGAAAACATTACATTAATAAAGAAACAATATACTAACTAGGAAAAATGTTACAGAAACAATGTTATACTAACTAAAGACAAAAACCTATAAATAATACTTGGAACCCCTTATTAACAAAAATATATCATCTTCAAATTTTGGATTAGTGAATTAAAGTCAGAGATATTTTATTTTAATTTGTAAAACCTATAAAACAAAAAGGAAATCCAAAATAGAAAAAAATGTAGAAGAAATTTACTTTATAAATAAAATTGCCAAAAACTAAGTCAGAAGCAAATTTTAAAATAATAGATTCTTTATAAAAGGATAATTAAATAAATAAGAAAACATTGAAGCTATAAATAACTAGAAGAGATATTTGAACAAGAAGTGTGTAATGATTTAATTGTGTAATCTAAGATACAAAAATAACATAAAATTTCGACCATAATCTCATGATAAATGGTTTATGGATTGATTGTACATATTCTCTTCTTATGAGATCGAGTTTATTGATAAAAGCATGGACAAAATTTTACTGCCAACAACACCAAATCAAGAATTTCGTGAAAATAATAATTTATATAAACAATTGTTTTTGATAGAATCTCAGTCAAATGAAATAAGGTAAAATTTACTCATTTTTTATGAAAGATTTATATAAAATTGGGAGAAATGATTGAGAGGACAAACAAAGTGGGGTTTAAAATAGTAATGTTTATACTTTCTAGGAAAAGAAAAAATACAGGTTATGTTGATAATAAAAGTAAGGGATGGAAGTGTAAATAGAAATTAGTGCAAATAGCAAAAGGTATCTTTCATACTTCTGCTCACTCTGGTTTCTTTTTCATCCCATGTTTCTCTTTCTGCACTTCCAAACTTTTTAAATCTGAATAATAATTTGTTTTAAATCTTTCACACTATCTTCCTTACCTTACTCGAATTCGTACACCCAGTCCTGTTAAAATGAGTTATAATCTGTATATTAACTTGGTCCACCATAGATTTCGATTAGGTTGTACTTAAAAAATATATAATTTTTTTATATAAACCAATTTTCAATCCAATCTACTTAAAATTCGGTTCGTAGTGAGTTAAGTTGACTCATCAATCCATTTAGTTTAATTTAATTATTTTATTTTGTATTTCAACATTATTATGTTTCAAGATAGCAAACTATTATATATTTATTTATTCAAGACTTTAATCTTATAAATTGATAACTGACACAAAAATGATCAATATTAGAAAATTATTTATTCACTTTTTGAGCTTGCTTTTGGATTACATTTGAGTTGTATGTTATTCTTTTTATTTTGAATTATCTTTGGAGAGTGAAATTTATTTAGATTTGAATTACAAAAAAAAGATATTTTTTTTGGATTAAAAAAGAAACTTGTAATTAAGTGAGCGAGTGAGTCAACCCGTTTAATCCACCAACCCGTGGTGGGCTTAGTCGAGTTCAAAATTTTCGGTTCACTAGTAAGTGAATCGGGTTGGGTTGGCTCATTAAGTGACCAACCCGTTGTGGATCGGGTCGGGTGACCTATTTTGACAACACTACCCACGACCTTCACCCGTTACCCTTCATGCATTTCCTCCACCACAAACCTTTTTTTCTTTGGAGTACAAAAAGGTTAGTTTAGTTTTTCTTTTACTTTTGTATCTATTATTAGTTTAGGAATAATTTTGGGGATAAATTGAATTTGAAATTTGAGAGGTTAGATAATTAATTTTGGTTGATAAGTGAAATAAATTTAGAAATTGGTAGTATGAGGTGAAATCTATGGAGGAAAGCATCAAATTTAGAGGATAACCACTTGATTTCAAAATCAAGTTTAGAAAAGTACCAGATATTGAAATTTAGTTTAGGAAAACACTATATTTCAAAATTCGATGTAGGAAAGTAGCGAATTTTGAAATCAATTAAGGAATATACTAGATTTCAAAATTTGATTAAGGAGTGTGTTGAATTTCAAATTTCAGTTAAGAAAAAAGCACTTGATTTCAAAATTTGGTTTAGAGTATGTACCATACTTATAAATTTCAAAATTCGGTTAAGATAAAGTATATGAATATCCTAGAGGTTCACACAACACTTTTTTTGCTAACTAGCTATGCACATCATGTTGCATGTGCATTGTGGGAAGCTTGTGATGGTAAATTTTTTTTAATGGTTTATGACTTGTTTAAATTTTATAAGCAATTGTTATATGTAGGGTTGATGAGAGATAAACTTAGTTTCATATGGAAACAAATTAAATAAATTTGGAGCATGTCATCTTGTTGTTCAAAATTATGTGTCAAATTTTTGTTTAATGCCTTTATGGACGATAAAGGGTTGACATTGACATTTTTTTTAAAGGGTATAGATAAACATTTTCCATGTTCATGTTGTTGAGACGTCTGTCACACTAAATGACGTGTTCGTGCTGCTGTATTTGTCTATAGTGAGATAATTTTGTTCAAATGAATCCCTAGACTTTGAAGGGGTTTTGGAAACTCTCATAGACCTTTTAAGCATGAATTGCATGATGGCTACATCTTAGCCTAGGCAATGTTGTGGTTCCCACTTGAGATTGAGTTTGTTGAGAGACGTATATAAATATTGTTGTGAGAATCGATAGTGAGAGTATGTCACACAGATATATTTGTTGCATATTATTGGATATACAACTTTTGTAAATAAGAGCATCACATATGATCTTTCATGTTAAATACGAAGACTCTAGTCACCCACAACATGACATCAACATAAAACACCTAACTTGTTCAATACTAATAACTAGAGGTTAATATATTCAGAAAACAAAACAATCAAAAAAGAAAAAGAAAACAAAAGCGGTAAACAAAAAGAAGCAAAATATATGTTTTTTTAAAAATAAAATAGTACCAGATTTCAAAATTCGAGAGAATACTTAACCATATTTTGAAACTCGGTAGTATCCTTAACAAAATTTCAAAAATTCGATATTATCATTAACTGAATTTTGAAATCTAGTACTATGCTTAATCAAATTTTGAAATCCGGTAAGTTTCTTTTGAATTCTGGTGCATTCATAAATTAAGTGAGTTACCTAGTGTTTTTCTAAATCAAATTTTCGAATTCAGTGTTTACTTAAAGTAGAATTCAAAATTTGGTGCTTTCTTAGATCGAATTTCAATGTCCGGTGATTCTATTAATTGAATTTCAAAGTTGGGTTGTGAATGTGTGTACATGTTTCAAACGAAGGTGAACGAAAATGAATAAAAATGAAAAAAGAAACTCAACATCGTTCAAAAAATATAAATCTGAAGTTAAAGTCGAAAAAGAGAGAAAACATAGTTAATTTTGAAAGTGAATGTGACTTTGGGTGCAAGGATCTCATAAAATATACCATGGTGCAAAATAAATTCATTTAGTAAACAATAATCATTACTTACCTAATTAATTTAATATTATATATTATATGGAAAGAAATTTGTCATCCCAATAAAATATATGTGGTATGTTTGTTACAAAATATTTTTTTTTCATTGTTTGTTACCATACTTTAATATCTATTGCAATATTAGTTAACACTTTATTACAATTATAATTGTATTATTTTCTTTAAAATATAAAAAAATGGTAACGTGTATGTTTAAGTTTATATTTACTTAATTTTGTATCTCATCTAAATATGTATTTGAAAAAGAGAAATTTTTTGAAACAAGTTTCGAATAACTTTCACGTTAACTTTGCCATGTAAAACAATATTTCGGTTGCAGTTTGAACTAACAAAACAATAATCTAACGACATTGAATTTTGATTTTTACATTTCGTGCCACTTTAACAACTCATGTTTCACAATGAAATAAGTTATTTTTCTAGTAAATATAAGATTTATTATATAACATATCATATTTCATAATTATATAACATATCATATTTCATAATTATATATGATCACAATATTCCATAAATCCACATTCAGATTAACTTTGCATCAAACTCTATATATAAAAAATGTGGACTAAGCAAGAGTACGACGTAACCATAATGAGAGGAAAAGAGAAAAACAAAGAATAGAGGATCAAATACATAGATAATATAGATAAAAAGAGATATATAAAAATAGAGAAAGGATTTAAAAAACACTTCTTCCCGTTGTTGCCCATTTTTTCACAAAATATTTAAATACCCTTTTTACAAATACATATAGTCTATGTAAAAAACTATCACTTTACATCAATTAAAGTGGTGATTAATTAATTTTGAGAGGATTGTTCCTAAAATTTTACATATGTAAAATTACAATTTGTTCAATATTAATTAATTAATACAATACAAATTTAAATATACAAATATTTGGCAACAACGAAAGAAGTGTGTGTATCTAAGACCAAAGAAACATGGATCGGGCTGGGTTACCAACCAATCTGACCCAACTTTTAAAATGTGGATGATGCTTGCCGTCTTAGATAATTCTTCCTTCCTTTTTCAACTTCAAATACAAGCTATCTCTCATCTCATCGCTTTTTTTCAAAACCCTAATTCCTCTTTCCGTTCCAATCTCGTTTCACAAGATCGCCTTCGCTGCTTTTCCGTTCAGGTGTGCCTCTCAATTCTGTTATTTCTCCCAGGCGATCACTCTGATTCTTCAATACCGACATCCTCGTTCTACCTGATCCGCCTAATGGATTTTTAGCTTCGAATTATGTGTTTTCGTTTTCTGTGGCTTTGGATATTTTGAATCGTAATTTGTGTTCATTTTAAGGTTGTTTTGTGAATATAATCTTTAATCTCAGTTCTTGATCTCCGTGTGTCTTGATTATCACAATTATGTCGCCATTATCTATTTTGGGAATATAGAAATGCTTAGATGGATGGTTTATTGATTGATATCAAGTAATGTTTTGTTCCAGAGGAATAATTGAGGTTTTATGGTTGAAATTTTAAAATTTAAAATTGCCTTATCTTTCTTTCTTACAATTGAACATTAATTGTTGGCTGGTCTGGGATCAGACTGGAGTTTTATTGTAATGTGCGAGCAATATTCTGTTAAAACAACAAATGATCTGTTGGGGTTGGTTTCATCAACATTGATTATGTTAGGTTACAAACGAGTGGATTTAATGGCATATGTTTTTCTTTTATCTTTTTATTTTTCTTTTGAGCTCATTTGATTTGATTTCTCAGGAATTATGTCTTTTGTGAGGAATTTTCAAGCAGAAGATCGTAGTTTACATAGTGGTTACTGGTCCACCTATGATGAAAACAACTTTGGCCGCAACAATAGGAAAAGAAGTAGAAACAATTATCACACCAGGAGTTTTAATATTTACAATGATAACCAGACAAAATTCGGCGACCATGGTTGTTCCTTCAATTTTTCCTTGGCCGATCATGCCAATTATCTTAGATTTGATGCTGTTCCGTCATCTCTGAAAAGGAGGAAATATTCAGCCCCTGTGTGGCAAGAAAGCCATAGATATTATATTCCACCCATGGTTCATGACAATATCCCGTCCTCCTGTAATTTTCAAGCTCCTCCTACAAGATCCGATGGTGATGCCTCCACATCAGCTGTCTTCAAGCACTGCTTCTCTATTTTTGAAGATGATAAGCCTGTCTTCATGTCAAGAGATGAGATTGATAGATACTCTCCATCTAGGAAAGACGGTATTGATGTACATCATGAGACACACTTGCGGTACTCCTATTGTGCTTTCCTTCAGAATCTTGGAATGCGTCTCGAGCTGTAAGAGTCAAATTATTTGTCATATAGCTCACATACATTGAGGGTGTAGCAGGTGAAAACTCGTCATTATTGTGACGTACAAAAACATTTATAACCATTAGATAGAAATGACAAGTAAGATTGCTTCTTTAATTACAGTTATAGGTGAGACTTTTAAAGGATCACCTGAGATCTGTAGTTAAATAATCAATCTGAATAGTTAATTTTAATGTAATGGTTATGATTAAATGTCAGCAACTCACAAATAACTACGAGTTCTTACCTGATATGTTATATATATTTAGAAAAAGAACATTGCTACTGACATTCATGTAAGATTTTAGTTTGTATATTTAATTCAATTTATTGATATTTGGCCTGCATAACATAGTGCCATGTTCCTTTTGCAGGCCTCAAACCATCATTGGGACATCTATGGTTCTATGCCACCGTTTTTTTGTTCGTCGATCTCATGCATGCCATGACAGATTTGTGAGTTTCTATTTGTCCTGGTAGCTCTAAATCCATGTTTTACTTTTCTTATATGCTTCAATGAGGTCCGCGTCATCCATGAATATTTTTCTACAATTATAATTTATAAATTCTTAGAAATTTTGTTATGGATTTGTTTGTAGTTAGTGCTTGCTATTTTATTGAAATTGTGTAATGTTACTTTTAATTTTTTCCTTCAACTTGCATCTCTGTGACCAAACTGATTTTCTATTAACATTAATTTGTGCTGCAGTTGATTGCTACTGCTGCTCTTTTTCTTGCTGCAAAGTCAGAGGAAGCTCCACGCCCTTTGAATAATGTATTGAGAGCGTCCAGTGAAATTCTAAATAAACAAAATTTTGCTTTGTTCTCCTACCGGTTACCTATTGTGAGTATAGTTCAAACTACTGAAATCTCTTCTTTTTATTTTACCTGTGGGAGACACGCAAACCAAATAATAGCCTGGCATCTATTAACTTGTATGTGGATATGCCTGATAACTATAAAAATATCTATGTTTGCTGATTCTCTATAAAGTAAAATTTTAGACAGTTATCATAATTTTTAATGGAATATCGCTCAAATGTGTCAAATATCTCTCAAATAAATCCAATTTTCCTTTTAGTTGAATACTAGTTAAGTTGTTATTGTAAATTTTATTTTATATGTTTAACTTGATTTGAGTTGTTTCACAGGATTGGTTTGAACAATACCGGGAACGGGTGTTTGAGGCTGAACAGTTGATACTTACCACTCTAAATTTTGAACTCAATGTGCAGCATCCATATGCATCTCTCACGTCTGTTCTTAACAAATTAGGTCTATCAAAGACTGTTTTGGTGAATCTGGCATTAAACCTGGTCAGCGAAGGGTGAGTTTTCATGCATTTTAGGTTTTATATATGATGGTTTCAGTGATGATGTTTGCTTATACCATTCATTTTTGAGGACAAAACGTGGTTGGCTAAAATCAAATCTGTATGAAATGTTCTGAGCTGTTGGCTGATGTCCTCTTCAGGTATCCCATTTGTTGGTTTTGACTAGGCTCTTATTATCTAACCGAGTGAATGGAATAGAAAACCTAGTGTAGGGAACAGGACATGGGGGCTTTTGGTGTTAAATCTCAACTCAAGCAATAGAATGTCTTGAGGTCTGGAGATCTAGTGGCTGAGGAAGATACCTTGGTGTCTCCCCTACTAAATTTTGGTTCCAAATAGTGTTGATTCTCTCAATATTTTGCTTTAGCCCAACTTCTGTGTGTAGATATTCTGTCATGGAATATTGATTGTTTTGGCATCCATATAATTGCAGGATATTCACAAGATTAGCGTGCTGGCCTGTATGATATTCTTAGCTGGCGGATTGATATGCTGTTCATCAAAAGTTTTGTTTTACATCTGAAGTTGAACTGCTGATGTCTAATGGATTGCTTTACCTTGAATATGTCTCGTCAACTTTTATTTTGGCTACCCAAGCTAGCCTCAAGAGCCCTACCCACAACTCAGTTTTTCTGTCTAACCCTCAATTCCTTGTAGTTTATGCTGATTCTCATCAGCCAAAGGTGCTCTCCATAATTTTTAGTAAAATGGGTTGAAAGAAGATAGTAAGTGACATACAAACAATATGAAACTAACAAAAAAAGACTGATACAGAGAGGCAAACAATCTTATCTTAAACAGTCTTATCATCAAAAGTTTTGTTTTACATCTGAAGTTGAACTGGTGATGTCTATTGGATTGCTTTTCCTAGAATATGTCTCCTCAACCTGTATTTTGGCTACCCAAGCTAGCCACAAGAGCCCTCCCCCACAACTCAGTTTTTCTCTGTAACCCTCAATACCTTGTAACTTATGCTGATTCCCAGTAGCCAAAGGGGGCTCTCCATAATTTTTAGTGACATGGGTTGAAAAAATATAATTTAAGTGACATACAATATGAAATTAACAAAAATAAGACAGACAGAGAGATGCAAACAGTCTTATGTCATCAAAAGTTTTGTTTTACTAAAGAGGGTTAGAGTGTTTTTGTCTATTCATTTTTTCTTAATTGAAAACAAAGACCTATTCCTTGGTCTATATGTTGATTTGGAAGAAAACTGTTTCGAGGATAAATCTGCTGATAAAATTCTCTCTAGAAGTGTTTCCTTGTGGTCAGTTTGATTGCCAAATTTTGGGTTTGTTAAAAGTTTCTTAACCTCCCTCTCGTTTCCCACATTGAGTATTTTGGTCACTCAAATGGATTACTTCAGTCACATGATTTTTTTCTTTTCCAGGTGTTTTAAATTTGAATTTGATCCTTTTCCTACTTAAAAAGATGTATACACTCTATCCAATAATTTGTTGATGTATCTGAATAAGAGTTTGACTATGACAACTACCTAAAAGGTCGTACATTCTAAATGATTGGATGATATTGTTCAAATTTTTTATATTTTTATATTGCGAAAATATAAAATATATGTAAACATTTGTTCTAATTTAAAGCTAATTTGTTTTATCAAAAGTTCAAATGTCCTTGTTCATCTCTTACAGATCACTCTTCCAAATTTTTTGTTTCCTTGTTGGTTGACATTTAAGTCTCTAATGGGAATGAAGTCTTTAAGATTTATCTGACTTTCATTTGAAATAGTTTTTTTTTTTTTTCATTTTTCAAACTCAATTTTTAGTTGTTCCCTACCTAGTTGAATGTGGCTTTATTGTTGTTTAAGTTAAAATTGTGAGAATTTACTTAGTGATATTTTTAGTTTTAACAGTAATAGGGATGTATTGATATTTGGGAAATGTTATTCATGGTCTTTTTTGTGTCCCTCCTGTGTGCTAAACACTGGCCCTTTGTTTATTGAAGGAGAAAAGGTGGAGAGGAGAGAAATAGGTGAGAAATAAAAAAGAGAAAGTGTTTAGTAAACTGGAAATGAGAGAAGAGAGAGAGAGAAATAAGGTGTGGGGTTTACTATTATTTTTATTGTATTTCTCACCTATTTATCTCTTTCCTATTTTTCTATACTAGACACCTTCATTTTACTCAACTTACTCATTTCTGTTCACCGTTGTTGCTGGTGACTTTCTGTGATGATGCTAGTTTGTCCTTTGTATTTGTTGTCTCTCTCCTAGCTATTTCTCAAATTGTTTATGGAATATGATTTTTCTTGATACCTCATCTAAAAAAAAGAAAAAAGAAAATCATACATATTATTTGGCATGTAGTGATCAGCCTCAGTTTTTTCAAAATATTAATAATTGGGTAGGCTGCACTTTATCATACTTTAAATAGCTCATCATCTTCATAAAATATGAGTACTAATGGTACCAGGTGTTATCGATTGTTATGGTCAGCCTGCTATATTTCAATTGATTTTTGTAAAGAGCTTTTTGCTTCCAGCTGAGTAAAATTGCTCAACTGTTTTCGTGACTTGAAAACGTTTGTTGGATGGGTTGGGGTTGTAGACAGTGGCTCTCACTGTATGCTTCTTGTGTCAGAAGGAAGTTTTGTACTAGCTCTATGGTGTAGTCCAAGCAGCCCTTCTTACCCTTTCTCCAATTTGATTTACAATTAATACCTGCATTGATTAGAAAGTTATGCACAACTAGTGTGAAAATTATAATATACTCCATCTCCAGTACTCAGCCACGAAGGAGAAGGAAGATTTGAGAAAAAGAGCTTTTCTTTTCCTCGTACTCCTTTTATCCCCGTTCCACTATAAAGGGGTAGTGATGTGTAGTGGTTTTATGCAGCCTAAAACCCCTTTCCTTACCGTCTCAGGTCACAATAATAACCTTCCACTTTCTGCAGCAAATTGAAGTGCTAGAACATGGGACTTTTTGTACATAATCAAACTATGTACTTGCATTTGTGCGTTAAATGTATGCCAACTTTGATGTGAAAATACAGTAACTTTTGTACTAAAATGTCAATCAGCTGTCTGCTTCAATTTGCTCTTCGCAGCATGTATTTTGTTTTATGTTGTGTAGTGATTTTTAAACTTCTAATTTTACGCCTGCAACATGGACAACAATTGGATTTTGTTCTATAGCTTGTTAAATAAGTTTGCATTCATTGTAAACATTCCAATGAGCATGGTAACAACAAGGCTCTCCAGGTCAAAATATTGAGATATGGCATTAGCTTTGAAAGATTCAGTTGTTTGTAATATGCAGCACAGCACACCATGCATACTTTCTCATTTTAGTTGCATAAAATTTCTGGAGCTTAGAGCCCCACGGCAGAGTTGGGCCTGGAAGTCTGATAAATTCTCTAGATGAGTATAAGATATTGCTATAGTTTGGTTATACTCTTATCAGCAATCCTGCACAGATTCTTGGAATTGTATGCTTCCTGAGTTGCTGCTTTTCTAGTTGGTAAGGAAAAGTTAATAAATTTTTGTTTTCCTCTTGGTATGAATGTTGAATATTATTTGAATTATCTAGTTCATACTACTGCTCATTCTAATAGCTGACATGATCTGTCATGGTGGGAACATATGCTAAGTTGGTGCCTCGGATGGTTAGTTTGACTATTTATGTATTATCTATATTTGCGTTGAACAATACTGACTGTACTGGTGCCTATCTTGTATGGTCTATTGAAGATGGGAATTTTTTTTGCAGGCTTCGGAGTTCTCTGTGGCTTCAATTTAAACCCCATCATATTGCTGCTGGAGCAGCATATCTTGCTGCCAAGTTTTTGAACATTGATCTCACTGGTTATCAGAACATCTGGCAAGAGTTTCAGACAACACCAACCATTCTTCAAGGTAATCTGCACCCAGTTCACCGTTCTAATTTTCATCAAGAAACATTATTAGATTTACTGTTCCTGTTTCGAAATGATCGGTTCAGGATAGCAGTAGATAAGTGAAGTGCAAGCAGGGCAATTTGTTAAGATAGGCGTGTAATTTGGATATTCCTTTATTAGTTATTGATATTCGTTTTCTCATTGATGCAGATATCTCCCAGCAATTAATGGAGCTCTTCTGAAAGTATTGTAGAACTAGATTATGGCATCCTTCCTAGTAGATTAAATTTTGAATATATAATTCAAAATGTCATATACTCCGAAGGGCGAGGTACAGATCATTATGTGTAGGAGCTTCGACATATATTTTGGTGAGTTCCAAGATTGGTGGGTGTGACCTAAGGATTTTTAAATTTTACCAACTTCTCTGAATCCTCTGCTAAGGTCTTGAGCATGATTTGCGTTCATTTCTGTTGATGCCTTGTGATCAACTGTGACTTGTGATCAACTGTGACATGCCAATGTCAAATCGAGGTCGAGTTTAGTCAATGAAGAATCTATCCATGAAAGTACACAAATTTCTAACTTTGTATGTGCAACAAATACAAATTATTAGTTCGGAGGTTAAATTTATTGTTGGTTGCCCCTTACTCTGGTGTAATGTTATGAAAGAAAGTCATTTGATATCTGCAGTTACGGTTAATGTTGGTCCTTACAGAAAATGGGTTAAGTTTTCTAAGCTCTTGGCACATAGAGGAATATCACCGGATCTTTGTGGAATTGTTTTGTAGCCCTCTGCATGTTATGTTGCTTGCCATCCTCGTCATTTGCAACCACAAATATCGTTCATTCAGCGGCTAAAAAATAGTTACGGCATTCCTAGCGTCCAGAGCCTAATATTCGTGCAGGTATTTTACACCAGTCTCTGTTAAGTACTTTAGGCCACAATTTTCTTGGTTAAAAAAGCTTTAAAAATACTACAAAAAAGAACTGCAAGTTCAACAACATTAATTCGGAACATCAAACTCCTGATAAGAAAACAAAATCCAACAGAAAGTATAAGAAATTTATAATCGGATTCTGTTTTTGTAAGAATTTGTGTTTATGCGAATTTTCTCACCTCAATCCGCAGGAAAGATGAATTAGACCAAATTATCTTGCAAAGCGAAATCTCAGGTTTAAATGAAGGGAGTGGATATTGTGAAATGGTTGTTGTTCGGTTCGAAATATTTGAAAAAGTGAAATAAGATGAGAGTACTAAATTTTCCTTCTTATTTTTGTATTTTCTTCAAATATTGGAAAATGCTACATGTGGCTGCGAGTTTTAAATATGCATTGCATATTCATTTATTTCAAAATAAGACAAACGTTAGAGCATGACATTTTACTAAGTCTATTTTAGAGATATTTATGGTTGTATCCCAAGTTTTCCCACGAATTTTAATTAAGTTCAATTACTCTGCTAAACAAAAGTGGACTGATACGAGCACGATGGTTCTTAATCTCATATTGAAATAAAATTAAATATTGTTTTACATATTTTACAAGTCTCAAATTATTTATTTAGGTTCAGAAATATGATTTTATGCTAAATAGAGAATAAATATATTTAATAAATGTTTATAAATAAATTTAGAGTACTTTATTTTTTATCTATTTTTTTCTCTTTAAATTTAGATATTCTAGCATTTCTTTTTAAAGTCAAGACTAATAATTTATCCTTTTACTATTATTCTCAAATTTAAATATATTCACATGCAAAATCAAGAGACCAAAATCTTAATTTAGATAAAAAAAAATTGTCCTTTATAATTTTCTTTTATATAAATACTATCCATCCGAAAACATCAGTAGAAAATTAAAGTTTTCAAATTAACATCTCAAAACTCAACAATATGTCTTCATATAGAAACAATAAATCAAGATATATATATATATATATATAAGAGAAGAGAGAGAGAAGAGAGAGAGAGGAGAGAGAGAGTATAGAGATAGAGAGAAGGAGAGAGAGAGACAGATATTATTATAAGGGTTGGAAAAAAAAATCAAAATTATGTAGAGTAAAATAAGGTAAAAAATAGACAAAGAATGTTACAAAGAAATTTACCAAACAACCAGAAACATAATGAATTAGAGAGCTAAGAGTTTATTGATATGAATGAGAAGGTCTAATAGTTTATGATAGTAGGTAGGGGTGTAAAAACATGTTTAAATAAAATGTTGAGATAAAAATATTTGTATTGGTTTTAAAAATGAGACATTGGTTGTTATGAAATAGATGAATGGTTGTTGTAAGTTGAAGTTAAGTATGTGATTTTTGTTTTTTTTTTTTTTGTGTTTAATTTTTCATTTTTGTTGTTTTTGGATTTTGATTGTTTTTTGTGTGGTTATTTTATTTTAATGGGTATGTTTTTTCTGTTAAATTTTTGGGTGGTGTTTTGTTTGGGTTGGGTTGTGGTTAAGTGGTTTGGTGTTTGTGGGGGGGTGGTCGGTTGGGGGTGGGTGGTGTTGGGTTGGTGTGGTGTGTTTTTTTTTTTTTTTTTTTTTTAAAAATAAAACAACAAACAAAAAACAACCAAAACAAACTGTCTTTCTTGCCCCTTCATAAAAAAAAAAAAAAAAGTCGTTATATAAATAAGGAAAAAAAAAAAAATAAAAAAAGAAAAGTTGAAAAAAAAAAAAATTAAATATACAAAAATAGATAGAAAAAAAAAAAAATATTGAAAATAATATAATAAAAAAAAAAATAAAAATAATCTAAAAAGAAAAAAAAAAATGAAAAGAGGGAGAAAAAAGGAGAAAAAAAAGAGAAAAAAAACAAGAAGAGGGGAAAGAAAAGAGAGAGAGGAGAGATAAGAAGAAAGAAGAGAGAGAAAAAAGAAAAAAATTGGTATTAAACATTAAAACTAAATAATTAATTAGCTATGGCCAGCTAACACTTAATTAATTTTAATTTAATTTTTAAACTTTGTATTTTGAGATTTTAATTCATTTTCCTCTTAGTTTCCTTTATTTTATGTAAAATAAAAAAAATAAAAAAATTAGCCACCCATATGTTTTCGTCTTTCATTCTTTTTAGCTTATATTTTTTTTCTAAAATTTTGACATCAATTATATCTTAAGATTGGATTATATCTTGTAGACGGTAGTAGTATCTTTCTTCCTTACCTCCTTTGTTTTTGTTCATCTCCACCCCACTCCTCCTCTATCAGATTTTCTCTTATTCCTCTCTTTCTCAATAAATTGTTTTGTCTGGTTCTATTTATTTGCAAATGATGGAGGTAGGAATGGTTGATCTAGGAAGTTACATGTTGGAAAGATAGGGCGAAATTCTTCATCGAATTTTAAAATTTGATTTAAGAGTTTCATTAAATTTTGAAATCCAATTAAAATTTTTATCGAATTTTTTAATTGAATTTTGAAATCCAATAAAGTTTTTAACCAAATTTCAAAATATATTGTATATCCATTAGTGTTTTATTTTCATGAAAATATTTATCCATGCTTTATTTTCGGAAAAATAAAAATAGTTAATATTAAATAAATATAGCAATAATTATTTGTATTTAATTTTGATTATTATACTATTAAATTTAATATTTATTAAACTTAGTAATTAAAATTTGAACTTATTAAATATAAAATTTTTAAATGGATTCTATACATAAAATAGAAGAGGGATCACATGACTCCAATATAATCCATTATTTAAACAATAATATTGAATTATAAACATATTAGTGTATGTATTTTATGTAGAAAAATTTTGAGACCTAATAAATTTTATCAAAATAAATTTAATTAGTATTTATAAAAAATGAAACAAGTTAGAAAAATTGAACCATTAATTACACGAAACTTTTTTATATTATCATGTAAACTTGTTATAAGTTGTTGGAAGCCTTGTGGTATCATACTACCATGTGAAAAATTATTATTATTTTGAGAATAGATAACTTATTATTAAAGAGTAAATATGAAAATAAAAATCATAAATTAAATTAATTATTTAAAGAATACAAATTGTTTTCGCTTATGAATTTGGTTATAATAAATAAAAAATAGTAAAAATTGATATATTATTACTACATTAATCAATGATAAAAAAAATTATGATTAATATTATTATACTATAATAAGTTATAATATCATTAATATTAATATATCAATTATAATATTATTAATAGTATTACTATCAATATCGTTTATGAATTAAAATACGTAAGTATACCAGGGTCGACTATATTTTAAAATTCGAAAAAAATAAATATCAAATTTTGAATTCAAGAAGAATAAGTACGGTATTTTAAAATTTAGAAACTCTAGATTTTGAAATTCAATAAATTTCTTAAACGGATTTTAAAATCCAATAAATTTTAAACCAAATTTCAAAATTGAAAATTGAATTTCGAAATTTAATGAGTTTTCTAAATTAAATTTTGAAATTCAATGAATTTCTTAAATTAAATTTTGAAATCCTATACATATAAAAAAATAAACTAGAAAAAAATAAAATGCGTGAAAACTTAAGATACATGGTTCAATAAATATAGAGAACAAAGTAAATATGTTTTGGTAAACGTAAATATCACTTAATTTTTTATATATAAATTTTTACGATAAAACTGTGAGTTTAGAGATATATAAGAAACCTCCTTGTTTCAATTGGATTTGAAATATTGGTGTAAGTGAAAAATGGTTGCTATTAATAGTAGATCGAAAATTGATTTTATGTATAAATTTCGTTAAACAAACTTTGACTGTAAAGGAAGAAACTTTTTTGTTAAATTCATATGGCATTGGCGAGTTTGAGGCGTTAAGCCAATCAATGATTTTCAAATCAGGTCTGTAAACGAAAAAGGAGCTCTACAACTCCAATTATACTCTTCTTGTAAGTAAAGGGTCAATGGTCAATATAGTTAAAGTTATTACAATTTTTGAGTTTTAAGCTAAATAAATAATTGTTTTTTAAACTTTATGTTTTGTAAGAATTGTTGCTCATTCTCTTAACTTTTTTATGATTTATATTTCAAATGATTGGATGAGCAAAATTCAATATGACTTATTATTTTTAATATCGGTGACAAATTCATTTATACTTTATGAGTTATTTTCGAACTGTGATAGAATATAATGAAAAAAGATGATGATGATATATGATGTGAGGATTGCGTTGAATGTTATTCAAATATATGATATTAAATATAATGTATAAGGTCTATGAATGTTATATATGTATGGAATTATTAAAAAATTAATACAATTTATCATGTTTTTTAAACTTTTTATTTTTTAAAGTGATTGGAAAATTTTATTAAAGTTCATATGTAGTAGTTGAATACTTTTTAATTTTTAATTCTTATAATACAATTTTTTTTAATCTTTTATGAATTTAGACAATAAAATGTAAAAATTAAAAGAAACTTAGAAATGTGTTTGTAAAGGTGAATTGAATAAGCTTTTAAGCATAAATATTAAAAAAGGATAACTTTGTAGAGGTTTAGAAAATAAATAATAACTAAATGAGTTTTTTTATAAATAATTAAAAGGAAAATGCATAAAAAATATCTGATGGTTGATTTGATCCTGTTTTCTACATGGACAGAAAAATAGCTGATGGTTTGATTTGATAGCATATGCATAGAAAATGAAATTTTAATAGTTTAAAGAAATAATATTAAAAATTGTATAAATAATCAAGAAATCTGATATATATATATCAGTATCTTTCATTCTTAAAGTGATGATTTAAAATGTCTAAGGGCTTTAAAAGATGGTTTAATGTAAAAGGAAAGTCAATAAAAGGAGAGAAGTTGACTTATCTTCATTATTTTTCCCGAATCTAAATACTACTTAATTCTGTGCTTTTCAAATCATTACCGCAGGATTCGAATTAACTTCTTATTTATTCTAAGTAAAGCAAAATAAATAAATTTTAACAGTCCTTACTATAAAAGATGCCCCATTTTTAAATTAATGTCACCAATAAAAAACACGGTGTTTCTCTATTTAAAAATAAAAAAATTGATAAAGACATATTTAATTATTTATTTTTAAAAAAGTGAGTTTGAGAACCAGAAAATGATAGAATTTTGAAAGATTCCGTTTCTTATCCTTTACCTAATATTGACAGATACATGGATCAATCGTCTATCCAATCGTTTTCTTTTAGCTGTTGCCCTTAAAAAAATCAAAGATTTTAACTAATGTAATTTTCATTAGAAAATAATTAATTATCATAAACTTTATATATTTTTTATAAACTTAATAGCCTGAACAAAAAGATCATACTAGTAAACTCGAGGTATTGCATCATTTTGTATAAAATATCAAAAAAATTATGTATTCACGTATTTGATTTTAATTTTAAAGATTAATAAACTATGAGTTATCATTTAAAAAATAGATACTGTGAATAAATTATATGGCTTGTATAGTAATCACTAATCAGTCAATTCTATAATGAATATTTAAATTTTTGAAATTGAAAACATGGAAAAGATCTAGTATATTTAATTAAGAAATAAAAAAAATTAATATATTTAGTGAGAAGGTTGTCTTAACCTTATTGTGCCTGGCGTTTGTCTCAGGTAATCATTCATCGTCCGATATCCTCAGTTATTTTTCTCTCATCCTTTCAGATAAAACGACACAAAAGCTCAGTATTTCTTCTTATCAAAACGCCACTGTCCATTGTCGTTTCGACCCATGGGATCACACGCCTGCTGCGCAACGTCGTCTTCGAGCTGTTCAAGACCACCCTCTTCCCCCACCCGCCGATGTGAATCTCCCTCCTACCTCCGATCTAACCCCACCGCCGGCGAGTTTTTCTCAGGTACTCCCTTCTCTCATGACTGCTCTTATTGCACTTGTTCGTACCTCACTTGAACGAAGCCAGGATACTGATAGTGACGTTCGATTTCTCTCTCTCTCTAGGATCATGTTCTGTGTATATCTTTTTTGGTCTTTGATTAGTAGTGAGTTGTCGCTTTCGAATTTGAGATTGGAGAAAAAAGAAAAAAAAAAGGATTGGAGGAGAGGATTCCTATATTGTGCTAAGGGTACTTATAGCTGATTGAGTTTTATGAATGAATATAATCAGGTATCTTTATTGTTATCTTCGATTTGTGTGCATTTGGGGAGCATTCGGACGTGTTTCCTTCTTTCATGTTTATAGAAATAAAGGGCATAGGGTGTAGCCATTTCTTTTGGAATTAAAATTCAACGGAGGTAGAAATATCTGGTATGGGGGAGTATTTGGTTGTATAAAGATTTGGTGGAGAGATATAATTTGATAAATCTGAATGGTTCATGTACCGGTTCCAACTCTCCAATTCATCATCACCGGGTTTCTTTATTTATTTTTAATTTTATTTAGCTATTTATGAGAAGCTAGTGAAGGTTGAACCTGTAGTGCAAAAGTTTAGTTTCCTGATGTGCCAATACTCTTCATGTATTATGAGTGTGACTTCCTGCCTTCAAGTTTTGTGGTCTGGGCAATCACATCACTAATTTTAGTACTTAATTGTTAATTAGCTGTGATAATTACGTATTAATTTAATGACGTCACTCGTCTAGTGTTCTATTAATTTTATTTAGAATCATTTTACATTTTTTGGAGACAATAGTAGGAGCTAGGACTCAAATCACAATGACGTTTGTCATAACACATTCTGTTTCTGAAAGGTGACCATATTCATAAAACTGTCATTTGTTCTTTGTCAATCATATTACTCAGGTGATATTCATAATGTCACATTTGTTCAAATTTTCCCACAACTTAGGAATTTTTCTATCTCTCGACGAATGGATATTTTCATATGCCATGCTTTTTGTTATTACTACATTACTTTTTGGCAATTTCTTTTTGTTGACATCGTTACTTCTGAACAGAACAAGGGTATAGTGTTGTACTCCCAGAGAAGTTACAAACTGGAAAGTGGAACGTTTACAGGTATACCCCTTCCATTGTTCTTGATCTTGATTTGTATACATCATTCTGGAGCCAAGTCCGAGGCTCATATGATACTCAATTCTTTCTGGAAGATCTATGCGATCTCCTCTGCAGCTAGTGAGCAAGTTTCCTAATCATCCTGAAATTGGTACCCTGCATGACAATTTCGTGTGAGCATCCCTCCTTTTTCTATGTAAAATTAGCACTGAACTTCAGAAGATTGATAATCTCAATCAAATGTATTTTAATAAAAAAATAATTTTCATGCCTAATAAATTGATGTGTTCTTTCAAACTCTGCTAATAATAGGCGCTCAGTTGACACCTTTCGAGACTACAAATATCTGGGAACACGTGTCCGCGTTGATGGAACTGTTGGGGAGTAATAACGCTTTCTGGGGCTTCTTTGCTTTTCATTCAAATTCACCTAACATCCTTCTCATCATTTCCACTATCCCTTCACTTTTTAAGGTACAAATGGATGACTTATGGAGAAGCAGGTACAGCCCGGTCAGCAATAGGTTCTGGTTTGATTTATTATGGAGTCGCAAAGGTGAATGCTAGATTATAGTTTTATGGTTGATTATTATTTTTTGTTTTACGAAGTATCATGTAACCATTGGTTTATGCATTCTTGTTTAGGGTTCCAGTATTGGATTGTATTTTATTAATAGACCGGAGTGGCTCATTCTTGATCATGCCTGCTCTGCATACTCATTTATATCAGTACCTCTGTATGATACTCTTGGTATGTTTTTTACAACTTATCAGAAAGTTATTTGTCATTCCTATCTACCTTTCAGATTTAACATGCAAGAAACTGCTTGCTCTGCAGGTCCCGATGCTGTCAAGTATATTGTTAGTCATGCTGTCGTGCAAGTTATATTTTGTGTACCTGAAACATTAAATGTAGTAAGTATATGTGAGATTTTTCATAATGTTGCATATCCCTTCTGTTCCTTCGTAATGAATATTGTAGAATCACGAGTACCCATTTTGGTAACTTGGTGTAATGATGGATTTCCCCATGCAAATACTCTGCATTGGGTATACTTTCCATGGCTTCTGGAAAATGTGTGTAATTAAGCTAATCCAACACACACTAGGGTGATTAAATTCTGTAGATCATTCAGTTACGCTAAAACAAAGGGTTAAGGACCTTGTGCATATCTACTTTTGTTTAATATAACTTACGTTCTTGTTTNGTGGTGGTAACAAACATAGTTTAAATAAAAATGTCTGATAGAATAAACAATTATTTTAGTATTCGGTTTTAAAAATGAAGACATTAGGTCCCTACGTTATGAAAAATATATGAATAAGGTTATGTTCGTTAAGTTGACAACGTTAAGTCCATGCTGATGTTATCGTACCTTTTCTCTTTTCTCTTATGCTGTTTAACTTTTTCTATCTTTTGTTTAGCTTTTTCTTTGATGATTTGTTGAACTTGTTTTTTCTTTGTGGACCTTATTCATATATTTTTCATAACATAGGGATCCAATGTCTTCATTTTTAAAATCGAATACTAAACAAAAATTCACCTCTTAACATGGGAATGAAGTAAGTATTTAAGTCTAGGGACTATGCACGCTCGTATAGAATAATTGAAGAATATACAAAGAAAAATCACAAAGAAAATATCTACGTAATATGAGTAGTGAATAACATAACTTAGATTAAAGCTCTTTATCGTTATAGGGGTATAATTTTGTAAGAAAGTCTTCTTATGTAAGGAGTTTATAATAAAGGTATCTATATTTATAGATATATCCAAAAAGTGTCCATTAGAGAATGTATTGGTAACTGAAGGACAATAGTTCGTTCAAATGGATCTTCCATTTTGTATATAATATATTTAGCATAAGGGATGCTCATAAGGGATGCTCATCAGTTTTAAGCTCGTTTATAACTCAATAAGTATAATAATAAAATATAACAAAATCGCTATCCTATAAAATATATCATGTTTAAGACCTAAACAATTATTAATATGATAAATGGTTGTTACCTAAATGGAGGTTGTTCCCCAAATTATCTTTATAATTATTTCCAAACAAAAAGACTAATTGATAAACTATAGTTATTATAAAAATCAATTGACAATTTCTAAACAATTATTCGTGTAAATGTTTTTAAAGATATATTGTAAAAGTAAGAATATAAGAAACAAATATTTTTCTCCTATGAAAGATAAATATTAACTGGAGAAATTTATTTTTAATGTAAGTCATTTCACTAATGGCATTAAAGATAAACTTTATTCTCCATGACTTTGGTATTAAACATTAAAACTAAATAATTAATTAGCTATGGCCAGCTAACACTTAATTAATTTTAATTTAATTTTTAAACTTTGTATTTTGAGATTTTAATTCATTTTCCTCTTAGTTTCCTTTATTTTATGTAAAATAAAAAAAATAAAAAAATTAGCCACCCATATGTTTTCGTTTCTTTTCATTCTTTTTAGCTAATATTTTTTTTCTAAAATTTTGACATCAATTATATCTTAAGATTGGATTATATCTTGTAGACGGTAGTAGTATCTTTCTTCCTTACCTCCTTTGTTTTTGTTCATCTCCACCCCACTCCTCCTCTATCAGATTTTCTCTTATTCCTCTCTTTCTCAATAAATTGTTTTGTCTGGTTCTATTTATTTGCAAATGATGGAGGTAGGAATGGTTGATCTAGGAAGTTACATGTTGGAAAGATAGGGCGAAATTCTTCATCGAATTTTAAAATTTGATTTAAGAGTTTCATTAAATTTTGAAATCCAATTAAAATTTTTATCGAATTTTTTAATTGAATTTTGAAATCCAATAAAGTTTTTAACCAAATTTCAAAATATATTGTATATCCATTAGTGTTTTATTTTCATGAAAATATTTATCCATGCTTTATTTTCGGAAAAATAAAAATAGTTAATATTAAATAAATATAGCAATAATTATTTGTATTTAATTTTGATTATTATACTATTAAATTTAATATTTATTAAACTTAGTAATTAAAATTTGAACTTATTAAATATAAAATTTTTAAATGGATTCTATACATAAAATAGAAGAGGGATCACATGACTCCAATATAATCCATTATTTAAACAATAATATTGAATTATAAACATATTAGTGTATGTATTTTATGTAGAAAAATTTTGAGACCTAATAAATTTTATCAAAATAAATTTAATTAGTATTTATAAAAAATGAAACAAGTTAGAAAAATTGAACCATTAATTACACGAAACTTTTTTATATTATCATGTAAACTTGTTATAAGTTGTTGGAAGCCTTGTGGTATCATACTACCATGTGAAAAATTATTATTATTTTGAGAATAGATAACTTATTATTAAAGAGTAAATATGAAAATAAAAATCATAAATTAAATTAATTATTTAAAGAATACAAATTGTTTTCGCTTATGAATTTGGTTATAATAAATAAAAAATAGTAAAAATTGATATATTATTACTACATTAATCAATGATAAAAAAAATTATGATTAATATTATTATACTATAATAAGTTATAATATCATTAATATTAATATATCAATTATAATATTATTAATAGTATTACTATCAATATCGTTTATGAATTAAAATACGTAAGTATACCAGGGTCGACTATATTTTAAAATTCGAAAAAAATAAATATCAAATTTTGAATTCAAGAAGAATAAGTACGGTATTTTAAAATTTAGAAACTCTAGATTTTGAAATTCAATAAATTTCTTAAACGGATTTTAAAATCCAATAAATTTTAAACCAAATTTCAAAATTGAAAATTGAATTTCGAAATTTAATGAGTTTTCTAAATTAAATTTTGAAATTCAATGAATTTCTTAAATTAAATTTTGAAATCCTATACATATAAAAAAATAAACTAGAAAAAAAATAAAATACGTGAAAACTTAAGATACATGGTTCAATAAATATAGAGAACAAAGTAAATATGTTTTGGTAAACGTAAATATCACTTAATTTTTTATATATAAATTTTTACGATAAAACTGTGAGTTTAGAGATATATAAGAAACCTCCTTGTTTCAATTGGATTTGAAATATTGGTGTAAGTGAAAAATGGTTGCTATTAATAGTAGATCGAAAATTGATTTTATGTATAAATTTCGTTAAACAAACTTTGACTGTAAAGGAAGAAACTTTTTTGTTAAATTCATATGGCATTGGCGAGTTTGAGGCGTTAAGCCAATCAATGATTTTCAAATCAGGTCTGTAAACGAAAAAGGAGCTCTACAACTCCAATTATACATCTTCTTGTAAGTAAAGGTCAATGGTCAATATTAGTTAAAGTTATTACAATTTTTAAGTTTTAAGCTAAATAAATAATTGTTTTTTAAACTTTATGTTTTGTAAGAATTGTTGCTCATTCTCTTAACTTTTTTATGATTTATATTTCAATATGATTGGATGAGCAAAATTCAATATGACTTATTATTTTTAATATCGGTGACAAATTCATTTATACTTTATGAGTTATTTTCGAACTGTGATAAAATATAATGAAAAAAGATGAGATGATATATGATGTGAGGATTGCGTTGAATGTTATTCAAATATATGATATTAAATATAATGTATTAAGGTCTATGAATGTTATATATGTATGGAATTATTAAAAAATTAATACAATTTATCATGTTTTTTAAACTTTTTATTTTTTAAAGTGATTGGAAAATTTTATTAAAGTTCATATGTAGTAGTTGAATACTTTTTAATTTTTAATTCTTATAATACAATTTTTTTTAATTTTTATGAATTTAGACAATAAAATGTAAAAATTAAAAGAAACTTAGAAATGTGTTTGTAAAGGTGAATTGAATAACTTTTAAGCATAAATATTAAAAAGGATAACTTTTGTAGAGGTTTAGAAAATAAATAATTAACTAAATGAGTTTTTTTATAAATAATTAAAAGGAAAATGCATAAAAAATATCTGATGGTTGATTTGATCCTGTTTTCTACATGGACAGAAAAATAGCTGATGGTTTGATTTGATAGCATATGCATAGAAAATGAAATTTTAATAGTTTAAAGAAATAATATTAAAAATTGTATAAATAATCAAGAAATCTGATACTATCAAATATCAGTATCTTTCATTCTTGTAAAGTGATGATTAAAAGGTCTTAAGTGCTTAAAAGATGGTTTTAATGTAAAAGGAAAGTCATAAAAAGGAGACGAAGTTGACTTATCTTCATTATTTATTCCCAGAATCTAAATACTACTAATTCCTGTGCTTTTCAATCATTACCGCAGGATTCTTTAATTAACATTCTTATTTTATTCTAAGTAAAGCAAAATAAATCAATTTTAACAGTCCGTTAATATTAAAAGATGCCCATTTTTAAATTAATGTTCACCAATAAAAAACAATGGATGTTTCTCTTATTTAATGATAAAGACATATTTAATTAATTTATTTTTAAAAAAGTGAGTTTGAGAACCAGAAAATGATAGAATTTTGAAAGATTCCGTTTCTTATCCTTTACCTAATATTGACAGATACATGGATCAATCGTCTATCCAATCGTTTTCTTTTAGCTGTTGCCCTTAAAAAAATCAAAGATTTTAACTAATGTAATTTTCATTAAAAACTAATATATTATCATAAACTTTATAAATTTTTTATAAACTTAATAATGCTGAACAAAAAGTATCATACTAGTTAAACTTACGAGGTATTGCATTCATTTTGTATAAAAATATCAAAATTATGTTATTCACGTATTTGATTTAATTTTAAAGATTAATAACTATGAGTTATCATTTAAAAAATAGATACTGTGAATAAATTATATGGCTTGTATAGTAATCACTAATCAGTCAATTCTATAATGAATATTTAAATTTTTGAAATTGAAAACATGGAAAAGATCTAGTATATTTTAATTAAGAAATAAAAAAAATTAATATATTTAGTGAGAAGGTTGTCTTAACCTTATTGTGCCTGGCGTTTGTCTCAGGTAATCCGATTCATCATCGATATCCTCAGTTATTTTTCTCTCATCCTTTCAGATAAACACGACACAAAAGCTCAGTATTTCTCTTATCAAAACGCCACTTGTCCATTGTCGTTTCGACCCCATGGATCACACGCCTGCTGCGCAACGTCGTCTTCGAGCTGTTCAAGACCACCTCTCCCCCACCGCCGATGAATCTCCCTCCAACCTCCGATCTAACCCCACCGCCGGCGAGTTTTTCTCAGGTACTACCTTCTCTCATGACTGCTCTTATTGCACTTGTCGTACCTCACTTGAACGAAGCCAGGATACTGATAGTGACGTTCGATTTCTCTCTCTCTCTAGGATCATGTTCTGTGTATATCTTTTTTGGTCTTTGATTAGTAGTGAGTTGTCGCTTTCGAATTTGAGATTGGAGAAAAAAGAAAAAAAAAAGGATTGGAGGAGAGGATTCCTATATTGTGCTAAGGGTACTTATAGCTGATTGAGTTTTATGAATGAATATAATCAGGTATCTTTATTGTTATCTTCGATTTGTGTGCATTTGGGGAGCATTCGGACGTGTTTCCTTCTTTCATGTTTATAGAAATAAAGGGCATAGGGTGTAGCCATTTCTTTTGGAATTAAAATTCAACGGAGGTAGAAATATCTGGTATGGGGGAGTATTTGGTTGTTATAAATATTTTGGTGAAGAGACTATTAATTTGATAAATCTGAATGGTTCATGTACCGGTTCCAACTCTCCAATTCATCATCACCGGGTTTCTTTATTTATTTTTAATTTTATTTAGCTATTTATAAGAAGCTAGGTGAAGGTTGAACCCTGTAGTGCAAAAGTTTTAGTTCCTGATGTGCCAATACTCTTCATGTATTATGAGTGTTGACTTCCTGCCTTCAAGTTTTGTGGTCTGGGCAATCACATCACTAATTTTAGTACTTAATTGTTAATTAGCTGTGATAATTACGTATTAATTTAATGACGTCACTCGTCTAGTGTTCTATTAATTTTATTTAGAATCATTTTACATTTTTTGGAGACAATAGTAGGAGCTAGGACTCAAATCACAATGACGTTTGTCATAACACATTCTGTTTCTGAAAGGTGACCATATTCATAAAACTGTCATTTGTTCTTTGTCAATCATATTACTCAGGTGATATTCATAATGTCACATTTGTTCAAATTTTCCCACAACTTAGGAATTTTTCTATCTCTCGACGAATGGATATTTTCATATGCCATGCTTTTTGTTATTACTACATTACTTTTTGGCAATTTCTTTTTGTTGACATCGTTACTTCTGAACAGAACAAGGGTATAGTGTTGTACTCCCAGAGAAGTTACAAACTGGAAAGTGGAACGTTTACAGGTATACCCCTTCCATTGTTCTTGATCTTGATTTGTATACATCATTCTGGAGCCAAGTCCGAGGCTCATATGATACTCAATTCTTTCTGGAAGATCTATGCGATCTCCTCTGCAGCTAGTGAGCAAGTTTCCTAATCATCCTGAAATTGGTACCCTGCATGACAATTTCGTGTGAGCATCCCTCCTTTTTCTATGTAAAATTAGCACTGAACTTCAGAAGATTGATAATCTCAATCAAATGTATTTTAATAAAAAAATAATTTTCATGCCTAATAAATTGATGTGTTCTTTCAAACTCTGCTAATAATAGGCGCTCAGTTGACACCTTTCGAGACTACAAATATCTGGGAACACGTGTCCGCGTTGATGGAACTGTTGGGGAGTAATAACGCTTTCTGGGGCTTCTTTGCTTTTCATTCAAATTCACCTAACATCCTTCTCATCATTTCCACTATCCCTTCACTTTTTAAGGTACAAATGGATGACTTATGGAGAAGCAGGTACAGCCCGGTCAGCAATAGGTTCTGGTTTGATTTATTATGGAGTCACAAAGGTGAATGCTAGATTATAGTTTTATGGTTGATTATTATTTTTTGTTTTACGAAGTATCATGTAACCATTGGTTTATGCATTCTTGTTTAGGGTTCCAGTATTGGATTGTATTTTATTAATAGACCGGAGTGGCTCATTCTTGATCATGCCTGCTCTGCATACTCATTTATATCAGTACCTCTGTATGATACTCTTGGTATGTTTTTTACAACTTATCAGAAAGTTATTTGTCATTCCTATCTACCTTTCAGATTTAACATGCAAGAAACTGCTTGCTCTGCAGGTCCCGATGCTGTCAAGTATATTGTTAGTCATGCTGTCGTGCAAGTTATATTTTGTGTACCTGAAACATTAAATGTAGTAAGTATATGTGAGATTTTTCATAATGTTGCATATCCCTTCTGTTCCTTCGTAATGAATATTGTAGAATCACGAGTACCCATTTTGGTAACTTGGTGTAATGATGGATTTCCCCATGCAAATACTCTGCATTGGGTATACTTTCCATGGCTTCTGGAAAATGTGTGTAATTAAGCTAATCCAACACACACTAGGGTGATTAAATTCTGTAGATCATTCAGTTACGCTAAAACAAAGGGTTAAGGACCTTGTGCATATCTACTTTTGTTTAATATAACTTACGTTCTTGTTTTGCAAAAACTTATGTATCATATAACCTGCCCTTGCAGTTGCTGAGCTACTTATCTGATATTCCAACTGTGCGGCTAATCGTGGTATGTGTGAATTATGGCTTACGTTTGAAATTAAATGTTCATTTCCAAAGTAAGTCATACTGATTTTTGGTTAGTGTACAGGTAGTTGGAGGTATGGATGATCAAATTCCATCAGTTCCATCATCAACCGGAGTTCAAATTGTTACATATTCAAAGCTACTCAATGTGGTAATCTTGTTGTTGTCTGTGTAAACAAATGTTGATTTTGTGTAGAATAGATAGTGTGTTATCATTATATTATATTGCTTCCTTGAATTAGTAAGGAAATTCCATTTCTGTTCTGTTCTCTTTCTAATTATATATTGTGGTGTATCAGTCTTAAGATCCTTTTGTAAATGGTGTTGCTACTAATTTGATCTGCTGCTATATATTATACCTGTTACCTCACTGTTCATGTGGTTTGGTTTAGGGACGCAGCAATCTCCAGCCCTTTTGTCCACCCAAACCTGATGACATTGCAACCATTTGCTATACAAGTGGAACAACTGGAACCCCAAAAGTGCGTAGGTTTCAGTAGAATTATGGTTTACCCCTTTTCTTATTAATATTATGTACTATTCCCATAAAATGTTTACTTTGCTTATATTAGCTCTATGAAGCACTTATTTTAATCTTTCTGCTGAACAAATTATGGTCAGGGTGCTGTCTTGACCCATGGAAACTTTATTGCAAGTATTGCTGGGGGTACTATGGATGAGAAATTTGGCCCTTCTGATGTGTGAGTAATTTTTTAATGCATACAATGTTCATTTCCATTTTTTGCTGTGACAGTTTATTCTAACTTCTTTACCTTAATTTTTTTTTTTCATTTTCAGTTATATATCCTATCTCCCTTTGGCTCACATTTATGAGCGAGCAAACCAGGTCATGGTAGTTCATTTTGGCATTGCTGTGGGATTCTACCAGGGGGTATGCCTCTGACTAATTAAACTTCTTTTTCTTTCATTTGATTTATGTCTACTCATTTTGAATGAGCTTATACTTTTATGAAAAATTAAAATTTTATATACAAGTTCTATGGCATAGGGAGCCCATATGATATTTTGTGAATATTTTCGATTTCATGAAATGCTGCATTGACCCATAAGAGATTTCTGTCAAGTAGCAGTTTTTTATTATAGTATTCTTGTGTTCCATATATAAACGTGTATGCATGCATGGATTAAAAATTATAATGCAACCTAAAGTGTAGAATGTGTAAATAATAGCAGCCTTTTCTGCTCAATTGTTAGTTTTTTCTGGTCATGTAATATACTTTACAGCTTTGCCTTATGTGATGTGTTGAAGGTAGATTTACTAAATTTTGTTTCACTTTATTTTGCAATATTCTCAGATTAGCATAATTTTTTTTTTAACATTCGTATGCAGGATAGTATGAAATTAATGGATGACTTGGCCGTCCTAAGGCCTACTATCTTCTGTAGTGTTCCTCGACTATATAACAGAATATATGCTGGGTAGATTATTTTTACATTTATGCTGTATTTCTTAGAACTCTCTTTTTCGCTTCTTGTGTACTCATTGTATCATTCAATTCGAATTTTTTTACAGTATCACTAATGCTGTTAAAACATCTGGTGGTCTGAAGGAGAGACTATTTAATGCTGCCTACAATGCTAAAAGACAGGCTTTATTGCATGGTAAAGCATATTCACAATGATCTATCTTTGTGCAGCATACATTTAAATACCTGTTTTGCCAGATTTATTTATGGTGGTGGATCACTATTCTGCCCTAAATATTGAATCAAATTGTACTTGTACCTTGGTTTTCCCCTATCCTTTGTTTATTGATGGTTTTAGACACCTTGTTTATATGCAAGATTCTTGTAGTGGGTGAATCTTATTTACCACAATAGTATCTTGTTTGTTTTCTGAAACTTGTAGTCTTTTAAATAGCTGGGAAAGTTTTCTTAGAAAGATAGATATGGCTAAAAAGGTGTAACTTATCATTTTGGCTTTAAAGTTTTATTATCATTTGAAAGAAAACTTACTTTTGACACCATATTTCCATTTGTATCAGGGAAGAACCCTTCTCCAATGTGGGACAGATTAGTTTTCAACAAGATAAAGGAAAAGCTTGGAGGACGAGTTCGGTTAATGGCATCAGGTGCCTCGCCTTTATCCCCTGATATCATGGAATTTTTAAAGATGTAAGTTTTGCATAATATTACTGTATACAATACTAAAGAGGACATTTCACTTATTAATATTATTATTATTTTTGATCAATTTTCTCATGCTGAATAATATGTGCATTTATTCTGCAGTTGCTTTGGTGGTCGGGTGACTGAAGGATATGGAATGACAGAGAGTACTTGTGTTATAAGCTGCATAGATGAGGGTGACCCACTTGGTGGTCATGTTGGCTCTCCTAATCCTGCCTGTGGTGAGTACTAAGTATGCATTCTGCATCATATAGCTAATAGCTTGCAGTACATTCGTGATTCAAAACCTGTTTGGTATTATATTTTAGGTAGTATGTGACGTACCAATCAACTTGTTCATGAATTGGTTAATTTTTTTTCTATTTAAAAAATTAAGTAGTTGCAACTTCTCATCATTTGTAGTTATTCAAAATGTTATTTTCCTTGGTACTGAATTTTAGGGATGGGTTGTTTTCTTTATATGGTGTGTAGTTTTGTAAACATCAAAGTTAAATTCTTGATTGATTTTGATTCACCTGATGAATGAGTAGGTTTATCAGTGTGTTATTGGGGCTGAAGGGTGTTCTTTTTATAGGATTTCACTTGGACTCTCAGTGAAATTCAATCTCACTGTGGAAGTTAATAACCTCAGTATATATCAAATCTGCCCAGAAAGAGTACACGTCTTGAGTTTTGAGCCAATTCTCTCCCACAAATAATGATTCTCCGCTTCTTCTTTTTTTTTTTCTTTTTTAAATTTAGTTGCAATGGGGTTTACTGTTTTAATTATTTTATTTTTCTCTTGCAGTGACATTGTGTCTAATAATCCTAAAAACGTCTTCTACTTAGCTTTTCTTATATGGAAGAACTTAAAAGATGAAATTATATTTAATTTATGTCAGCTGAAGCTTTGTTATGCCTAGTGCCAAGAGTTTTGTTCTTTGTTTCAGAGATAAAACTTGTGGATGTTCCAGAAATGAACTATACATCTGATGATCAGCCCAATCCCCGTGGTGAAATTTGTGTCAGGGGTCCCATTGTTTTTCGAGGTTATCACAAAGATGAAACTCAGACGTAACTACCTTTCATGCTATGTGCTTTTGAATGAAATTTATCTTGTCATATTTGAAACTACTTGATTTTCAATCCAATTGTGCAGGAGAGAAGTCATTGATGAAGATGGATGGCTTCATACTGGAGATATTGGAACGTGGTTACCTGGTGGTAGACTAAAAATTATTGACAGGTGAGATAGAATCATTCTAATTACTAGTTATAATCCATAATTAATATGATACACACGGCTTCTTAACATACCACCTGGCATTAGATTGAATCTTTGTTTAACCTTACGCTGCAAGTATGCTCTGTTCAATGAGTAGACTTGAATGGCACTTTACAGAGTGAACTTGCTATGTGCCATTGTATTTTGTCAATGAGTTCTGTTTCTATGAGACTTATAACTGCATACTGCCTCTATTTAACTTTTATAATTTATATATTTAACTTCTGTAGGATGGGCTTTGAGTCTTGACACCCCTAGATTCCTGTCTACTTACCCGACCCAGTTTTTACAACATTGATTGAAATTGTCAAGCATATGAATGAAAGCTTAAATTTGTTACAGGAAGAAAAATATATTTAAGTTGGCTCAAGGCGAGTATATTGCTCCTGAGAAGATTGAAAATGTATATGCCAAATGCAAGTTTGTGGCGCAATGCTTTGTATACGGTAAGGAAATAAATCAACACACAAATTTGGTGTGTGATCTTTGTATCCTCTCTCTTAATTTACTCCTTGCTAGTTTGCTGATGCTTCTTTTTTCATTTTTAGGTGATAGCCTAAATGCTTCTTTGGTAGCTGTTGTCTCCGTGGATCATGATGTCTTGAAAGCATGGGCCGCTTCAGAAGGCATAATGGTAGTATAAACTTTTAAGAGTGTTTTAATATCTGTTCCCATATATCATGTACTGAAAGTCCATCTAGACAGTGCTTAAAAGTTTGTTTTACTTTGTGCTTGAAATCTTGAAATGTATTTTTGATTCATATTACTATAAGTCTACAATATATTTTGGAAAATAAATGTGATATGATAAAAAACAAAATTGTCGGATACCTGATCTAAAGTGAACATTTTCAGTTGAGTTGAACCGGCTTTTCTATGACTTCGTCATGCAAGTGAACTAACTTTTCTTTGATTGGTGATCATACAATTGAATAATAACTATATATATGGAATTGCATTTTTATCCTATGATTACCTTTCTCTAGTGTTACACTTCGCGTGTTTCCATCTCTGTTTACTTTTTCGCCGTTGGTGCTGTATATTTTATTTTTAGTCTGCTCAACTCTATTCTTTTAATTAAAAAAGTGCTTTTATCAGTCTATTTTTGCAACTTTTTTCTTTTAGCATGATTTTAAGTAACAATGCTTTTGTGGTTTTTTCAATCTTTGCATCTATTTTAGCACATGTGGCAGTGGCTCTTTATTTGTATGATAGCTCTTCTATGATTAGATTTAGTATATTAATATTCATCCTTTGAGGCTTGGCAAAATCATACCGTTTAAAACAAGGGATGCTTTTATGTGACTCTTAAAATCAGAGTGGTCCGATTAATTTTGACATCAAGAAAGTAGAGTCCTGTGTTTTATATTAAATTCAAGAGAAGTTCAAGAAATTTATTCCAATCATCCTATTTTTCTTTAATGAGGTGGTGTTAATTTATGGAAGCAGTTTGCAATATTAACTGATACTCTTATGTTCTGTGGGCATGAGTGTAGTATAATGATTTAGCACAACTTTGCAATGATTCAAGAGCAAAGGCAGTTGTCTTGACTGAGATGGATGCTGCTGGACGAGATGCTCAGGTAGGTTATTCATTTTATGTTACACTTACGTTTACCTTACAATTTGGCCTTGTATTTAATTAATAATATTAAATATCTGTAACTTTATGTGATTGTAGCTTAGAGGTTTTGAATTTGTAAAAGCTGTCACTTTGGTGACCGAACCCTTTACATTGGAAAATGGTCTGCTTACTCCAACATTCAAGGCAAGCTTTGAGTCATAAATTTATTTTTTTTCATTTTAACCTGATGTGGCGCTAAATCAAGCTGTGTATTGCGTGCAACTTTTCAGATTAAGAGGCCTCAAGCGAAGGAATATTTCGCAAAAGCAATATCTGATATGTACAGTGAGCTCTCAAGAACTGATAATTCTCAGAAAACGTTGTGAAATTGAGGGTCTCCCTTCACTCCCCTCAACAGATAAATAAAGAAACGTGATTCATACCATCGTAAGGCGATAGCAGAAGGATCCAATGGGTACGATCTGGCAACTTGTTTTGTCATGACAAGAGTTGTGTTAGAACCCAACAAGATTCGTTGCTTTATTTAGTTCTAGTTGCCTTACGTTATTTTTACATATTTATTTTTTTGAGTCATATTACTATAATTTTTAATATATTCATTATTATTATTATTGTTGTTGTTGTGAATCAATCAATACCTATTCAGTAGCATTTTGATTTTATTTTTATTTTTTCTTTTGGTGGGACTTTGCTAACTAATATTATGCACCTAGGTTTTATGGTAATGACTGTTATTATGATTTTTGTGAATGAAATGGAGACGAAATAATACTTTCGTGACATTATCCAATTTTTTAAAAAGGATCTTGATTCTTTGTTAAATTTAGAAAATGCTAACATTACGTCTCTTACTGTCTTTAGGGTAATAATCAGGGGAACAAAAGTAATAGGTATTCAATAAAAAAGAAAATTATTGTTTATACTGAAAACGTATAAATCATTTAAGAAAATAGAATAATTCTGATTAACTTGTATTCTTGAAATATATGTTAGCAGTATCCTTAAAATATTAAATATATAATCACGAAATGCATTTCTATTGCTACATATTAAATTCAGAGTTTCTTTTTTTTTTTTACTTTTTTAAATGAAATATTTTTTTAACTAGTTAAATTCTATCTTTATTGACTTTATTAAATTTTAAGTTCTTTATAAATATATGTATTTTTAATTATTTTTTATTGAGTATTCAAATTTTATATTTTTAATTGAATTTTTGTTATTTTTTTTATAATTGAGTAATGCGGCTATCATGCTTATGTGTTAAGAAAAGAAATGTGAAGTTCTAAAATTCATATAAAATTAAATGATACTGTTAAAATGACTTTTATTTAATGAAAAACATGTTAAATAACAAAATACATGTAATAAGAATAAGAGATCATTGTAGCAGTATACGTCAACAGTAAAAATGATAATAATTATTTAATTATTTTGTTGTAAATGATGATATAAAAGTGATTGGAAATCATCATGATACCAATATTTTTAATTAAAGTAATAAAAGTTGTTTATTATTTTATATTGACATCGTTGTTTTATGTTAATTACAAATTTCATGTTTCTTAATAAAAAAAGTAAAATGACGATAACATCCACGTAACTTAGTTAACACAACAATTAAACAATAAGAATAATTAAAAAATATATAAAAAAGTGTTGGTACTAATAATAAAAACTCAATTGAAAATACTTAAATTTATAAATAATATGACTAAACCTGATTAAGTCTTTTTTGTTTTAGAAGATTATTTATTCTAAAACAAATTATTTATAAGGTTATTTGATCTAAAAGAAATTTAAAGCATGAATATGAAGGTTTCAGTCAAAAGCCATTCCTCTTTTTTCAATTTATCTTTAGGATTTGTTTGTTATTTAACCAATTTGATTAAATGATTTTTCAGAACGGTTTCATGTCAATATTGTTAGACCTTACCTGCATAAAAGTATCCTTATGCATTTGTGGATTTTATTTTTCAAATTATCTTTAAAAGAAACATATTCATTCATTGAGTGAACACTTCCATATGCCGTTTGGTAAATAGAAAAATAAAAAAATTCAATCGGGGTTTGATGTGCTGAGTTTATTAGATGGTATAATGTAGGTGTGGAATCTGTTTCTCCACTAGAGAAGAGTAAATTTCACAATAAGAAACAAGAAGCGATGATAGGATAATGGTCAAATTTTGGTATTTAAATAACTTTCTTATGTTCAATTGTAAGAGTTTAAAATTTGCCGTCCAATGACACAATTACATCTTACTATCTCAGGCGATTAAATTCTTGTATCTGACATTGTAAATGGTAATTCATTAAGCAAAAACCTTAAATTGAGTGACAAAAGTAATTGACTTTTTTTTTTTACTTCTTGGTTTCAAGTGGTGCCTAACAAAACCAATTATGATGAAATCAACCATTATTCGCAGAGCACGCTTTGTTGCAACAATTAAAGCTCTCTCGAGATTATGGATGCATGCATTCATATCCTCACTTTACCTTTTTCTTTTTCAACAACAATACAATCATTTTTTTATTTATTTCAAACTGAAATTTATTCAAGAAATTGATTTTTTTTCAACAATTTTTCATTACAGATAGACTTAAGAATCAAAGTCCTATCCAGATGTTTAAAATGTAAAATTATAGGAAAAACACCTTGTAATATATCTAATATGCGTTCTTCTTGTCATTCAAAATGGTTTACAAACATGGCTATGATCTAGGCAAAAGGAGTTGCAGAAATTCCATTGATCAGTTTCAATACAAGAAGAAAACAGAAAGTCCATAAAGCAAACTAAGCATAACACTTTGTTATTAAACATAGCTAGAGAAAGCAAAGTAATAGGACTATTGCCATGGCCAAACTCACCATAGAAAAAGGTCCCTTTAGAACAATCAATGAGTTAGCATTGCTAGGAGAAGGTGCTGGTACATTGGAAGCTTGCACGATTGGAGAGGCCAAAGCTGATGGAGTAGGTGCTTCAGCAGAAACCTTGAGCACGTTTATATCAACCTTCTGTCCCGCTTCGCAGTGACCAGGGACGCCGCAGAAGAAGAAGTGGTGGCCGTGAGTGGTTATATGGATAGAGTCATTGCCGGTGGTGAATGTTGCAATAGGGGATGATGCATTGCATGACTTGTACATGCCATGTGTCACTCGCATCACATTGTGGAATTTGTTATAGTATTCAAATACTACAAATACAAATCACGGACAATTTCAGTTATGTAGTTATGTTGCTACTAATTATCATAATTAAGTAAAGTCTATGGTCTGTTATGATCTTCTTGAGATGAATGTTTATGAAATGTACAATGTAAATGTCTGCTGTGAGACCAACAATCTCATTGCATGTTTTGTCTTTTCATCCAAAAGGTTAACGCAAGTTGAAGTGGTGGGTCACGCTGTTTTACAACAATATAATCATGAAACAGATGTATAATAGGCTCTTACATACGAAAAAAAATGTGTACAGAGTGTAAAAACAAGAGTTTTTATGTAGGGGCCCTCCCTGAACACATACTTTATTTTCTTAACAATACAATCGTTTTCCTTGGAAGTGCAAATGGTTGGGTACTTCACCAAAAAACAAGTAATCGAAGTTTTCGACACCCAACTCCGCATTGCTAGAAAGAGATACAGTAGCAGTGTATTTTTCTTGCACATTTTTCTATAATGCACTGAAATTTTTAAAATCACAAACTTCTCTGTGTTTCTACTCTTGTTTACTGACTTTCATGCATGATTTTCCAATTTCGAGGTAACAATTCAAACTGTGTTTGGGGAAATGTAATAAAGATTATGTTCTTAGTCCTCCTCTTTGGAAAAAAAAGAAAGAAAGGGTATCACCTAACTTCTGTATTGTTTGTTTGCATTCTCATCATCATTAGAACAAAATGCAGAAGTATCACAGAAGTATGATTTGATCTCCATCAGCTAACAATGAAGAAAAACCAACACAATACCACAGACAAAGCATGCAATTGGATTTGGAGGGAAGAAACTTACTGATAGTGTCACCAATTTGGAAGTTCTTGGTAGCAGCCCACTTCTTGTAGTCTATTTTGCCAAGGGTAGTCCAACCAGCGGAGTCCCCAACCTTGTAAACAGCTGCATCTGAAACCTGCAGAATTTCCATGACTATGAACAAAGCCATAAATCTCTCTACCAAAGCCATGGTTTGAAGCCCTTGTTGTTTTGAGGTTGGGGTCTTTATAACCTTTTGACTACTACTAACTGCCATTGAAGATGTTGGAACTTGAAGAATGACAAAGTGGATGAACAGGTCCCACTATTTTTTCTTTAATTAAATGGTTTATGTTTGATGAAAAGGGAAACGTGGGTCTGAGTAATAAGTGCTCCACTCACTTCTCCCATTTTGCTTTATGTCTGTCTACCGTTCAAAACCAAACTATGATGGACTAAGTCTGTGGATTCTTCTAACCTTCCTAATCTAACAAGTACTTTTCTTGACTTTTAGTTACATTGCATTAAAAAAAAACACTTACCATAAGTAGTTACAAAGAAGTAGTTAGCTTTTTTATATTTTGACTATCATAAATAAATTTGTTTACATTTATTTAATATTTTGTTTTTAGTGTTTAGTCTTATTTTTAAAAATTTATTTTTTTTATAATCATTTTACTTTTGAAATATATGTGAAATGAACGTAAATGTACATTATCTTATTATTACTCTTTTATTATTATTCTTTAAAAAATAGTATATGAAGCATGTAAAGAGTCTTAATATTATATTCCTTATAAATATAATATTCAAAAGCAGGAACATTTTTTAATAAATAGGAGAAGGGAGAAACACCAAACTTGCATACTGAGTCAGGGTGATTCAGCTAGTTATTTTACAAGCTGAAATCCTTAAAATGTTGACAATATAGTAAAGTTTCTTTACTCGTTTTCTTTTACAAGTTATCTGACACAGTTAACTCTTTCATCCTTTTTGACAGTTGTATAACACTGCAGAAGAGCAAACAACTAAATATAAATAGCATAATGAAAAAAACGCTCATTTGATCAAATTTTGAGAAATGGTATTCTAATTGGTAACAAATAATTTGGTGACTGTCATTATAGACTGGCAACCACCATGTATTGTTTTCTTTTGATGATCTCATTACTTTGCACATCAGAGAAGCATTAAGCGCAAGACACTCACTTTACACAACCTCCAACTGAAAGCTACATTAACACCAAATGTGTGGAATTCACAAGTAATAACATAGTTAAGGTTTCGTAGTGTTGGTATTATGCAGTCCCCTTAGTCTATGTTGTCTTCCTTGCGGTTGGTATAACCTATTTTAGTGTATTTTTTCTACCAAATGGCTTCATCAAGAACTACTACTAATTCATTTTTGGTGCTATGTAATAAAATAACATCGTGACTCCTACCACATCTCACCAACCATGCGTCAAAGTTAATAATGCTTGTTAATTGTTTAAGACTAAATTTTTCCACTTCTAATTGCATCAAAATTACTGTTGACATGTACTATTGGCTGTTGCAGGAAAAAAAGACAAAACATGCAAAATCAATTTAAGCAAAAGACAAATAATATGCCAGGACTAGGCTTTTTGTTTTTTTGAAAAAAAGCCAACATAGGAGAACAAAAATACAAACATAGTACACGTTATATGACTTGCATAACAGGACAATTAAGTGGCATTACAGTGTTACATACACATGCCACTCACAAAGTGGGAGTACTAACATGGTAAACTGTAACAACCAAATTTGGCCAAACACTGCATACAGTCTAATATACTCATTTGAGAAACCAAACTGTTGGCAGAATTTGTCTAACTTATATATGAGAAGCAGATTAAATCCCTGAAGAATCTTACTTGTACTTGATCAATCGGCAGTGACTACTTTCTCTTCTTTAACCGAATCATCTTGGGCAAACCTCTTCCACAGCCAATGGTGCTTCCACACTCTCTCTGTCATCTCTTCAATAGGGACATTTTTTGTCTCCGGAAGCAGGAAAAGCACGAAAGCAGACATGATCAAGATACATCCAGAGAAGAACAAGAAGATTCCAAACTTGAAGAAGCAGAGCATTGAGAGAAAGGCCTGTGCAATGAGAAATGTGCAGAGCAAGTTGACACATACAGCAATACTCTGCCCCGCTGAGCGAGTCTCCAGAGGGAAGATCTCACTTGGGATAAGCCAAGTAAGAGGGCCCCATGACCATGCAAATGCAGACACAAAAACGCACACCATCACAACCACCAAAACCGCAAAACCCTTTGATAGGTCGTCGTAGTGGTCCCTCACCTTTATTCCTATTATAACTGCAATAACAAATTGAGACAAGAACATCTGAACTCCAGCTTCGAATAACAGCATTCTCCGTCCGAGTCTGTCCACCGAATAGATTGAGACAACAGTGGAGATCACATTAACGGCACCAATAATCACAGTACAGTAGAGTGAAGCATCTTTCGTGAATCCCAATGTGTTGAACAGAACCGGGCCATAAAACATAATGGCATTGATGCCAGTAAACTGTTGGAAAACCTGGTTTTGGAAAATACTCAAAACGGAATAAGAATCAGATAAATTAGTAAATTTAATTGATCATACCCATACACCTAAGAATAACATTGTTTCAAATATGTTAGGAAAAGAGTGAATGTACAATTTTTTACCCAAAAGTTTCAACAATTTAGTCTCTAAAGTGTCATTTCTACAACAGGTTCGAGAGCTAAGGCTATAATTGAATACATGAAGCATGATGTTTGTAATACTAGACTTCTCTTGAAAATTTGAAATAGGTTCTATCTTAGAATTTGATTTTAAAACTTAGAACGTAGGAGTTAACCAGTCATATATACTATTTAATCATATAAGAAAAAACTAAACAGACAAAGTTGATAAGAAAGTATTTGAGAAGACAGCACTGACATGGAGGGCAATGGAAATGAGGAGTTGCGGTCGGTTCCTGCGATCGAGGATATTCCTGAAAGGGTGTTTGATCTCTTTAGCCACAGTACATGCATCAACAAGCGCCAAGAACTCAGGCTCAATGTTTTCAATGCCACGAATCTTTCTCAACACAGTTTTTCCTTCTTCTAAGTGACCACGCTCAATGAGACTGTTTGGGGTGTCCACCACCACAAAAGCTCCCAAGGTCAGAAACAGTGCTGGCAAACCTCCCAAACCCAGAGATAACCTCCAACCCCAACCACCTTTGATTCTGTTGTTTCTCAACCATAGTCAGCATCAACAACATCATAAATAAACCAACCACACTTTCTCTAGCATTGACTTATAAAATAGATTATAACTTATAAGTTTGACTCAGTCTCAAAACCTTTTTCTAAAGTGAGGTTTGCACTGAGTGAAAATTCCACCTCCCTGATTTTGTATTTTCATCATTGAATCCTAATTACATTTTGAGTTCTTGCTATATTAGCATTAAATAATCCAAAGCTTATTTACCCGGATAATTCTAAATCTTAGCTAAAGATATTTTTATTAAAGAAAATCTTTCTATTAATCTTTATACTATAAATCTTTAACTTTTCTTAGATTTAAAAATATTAAATGTTATTTTTTTAATATTTTCATTATAAAATATATTTAATATTTTTCTAAGTTTTGGGTCAGTACAAATTTTCACACCAACCAACCGTTATGAAAGCTATCATCTCTGGGCCTGGACCAAGCAAGCAGGCCTTTCCCAAACAAGACCCATGGGAAGGAAGCAATTGATGAAATCATGAATGAAAAATTGTTGTTTCTTTTCCATCTAAAATACCATGAAAAAGAATATCCGTGACATGTTTCTTAGAGAAGGGATTTTATTTGTATGGTAAGAAACAGGCAATTGCAACGTTAGCAGATAGACTTGCTTTGCTTGAGAAGCTTCTCCTTTGAACCATTTATGAAAGTCCAAAACCCTAAGCAAAGTGGGCAAGCATGTGCTTGACTTTTTGGTATGCTGAGAGGTGTAATATAAATGGTTAATTCTGCTGGTTTTCTATGCACCAGAATCTCTTGGGAGAACTACTCCAATTAAACCATCAATTTTCAAAATTTTGACCACCACCACTCACTAGTACTAACGATGCTTTCATTTGGGCATGAGTAATAACACATGGGGATTAGTTAAAGGTTATATTTAATGGCTATCATTTGTTCTATAGCAATAATTTTAATGTTTTCTTAACACGAATCATATGAACCATTCGACAAAAGTTATGGAATTGGGAGCACGAACACAAGAAACTTACTTGTTGGTGGCATAGTTGACAAGGTTGGAAAAAAGAATGCCAAGGGTGATATTCAGCTGGAACATTATATTCAGTGCTCCTCGCATTCTTGAAGGTGCGATCTCTGAAAGGAAAACTGGCACGGCCTGCCATCATCAAATCAAATTAAAGCAAATTATTTATTTTGTTCACGATAAATTGAATTAGCTTTCGATGTAAATAGGATGTGTGAGCTGCAAAAAAGTAGCAGCACAAGTTCAAGTTTTGTGGCACTTTCAATGTAAAGAAGAGAGATTCTTGGCCATAAAATTGAAGTGATTTCATATAATTAAATGAGAGAAAATAGCAAGTGATTTCCATCAAGGGTAGTAAAGGTGAAATGGAAAGAACATTTAAAGCCTGAAAGGAGGGTTGGAATTTGAAGAGAGAGTAGAAAAACTATGGGAGTGAATGCCAAGAAAGTCTTTCATATCATTGTGGGGACTGGGACATTCTTGTCTGCTACATCACAATGCCCTTTCTGCATTTTTTTATTTTTGTCATTATCTTTATAAATTTTAATCCTTTGGGTTGGTCAGATATGTCGGCCACCTCTATCTCTGGTTAATAAAATACAGATACACGCCTAGTAAAAACTACAGAACCTATTTTTGTCTTTAACGAGGGACACGATCTATATGGCAATATCTCACGTCAGCTTTCCTCATAAAATAACAATGATATTTTTACGTTAAAATATGCTGTTGATGTTTAATTTTAGTTTATGTTGACTTACATTGAATATTTGATTTTTTTTAATTATTTTGAGGACGGGTTTAATTATATGTTCAAGCTTTTTTTTTTTTATGTGTCTCAGTGTAATACTTAAATACTTTTGTTGTATCATTTTCAAAATTAACGAGAACATCAATTATCCCTTTTTTTCCCTTTACATATGCTTATATCTTTCACCTAATTAACTTATAAATATCTTATTAAAAAAAAAAGTGTAACGTTTCGTAACATCTTTTACATGTTACTTTTATTGTA